CTGGAAGGTGCAATGAGGCGGGTCGCTCCGCCGGCGGGGCTGGGTGTACTCCTCCCAGCACCAAACGCAAGCGCCATGTGGTCCCCGGGCGCGGGTGGCGAGCCAGAGGGCATGGGGGAGGCGGCCCGCCAGTGGAACCCCATCAGCCGAATCCCCCGGGGGGAAATCGGAACCACGGCGGCTGCGAAGGGGAGGACGGGAAGTCCCCGCGCCATCAAAGGGGCGCTTGCGCCCCGTCAGAAAACGATCACCTGACCGATCACCCGCAGACAAAGAACGCAGCGGAGCAGAACGACTGGCAATTCGGCCCAGAGAAGGGTCATGATGAATGAAAGACCACAGCAGCTGCCGGAACTGCTGGTGCGACTGGGCCCCCCACGCCTGACCCGTAGGGTCTGCCAGCAACCGGGCGCGAAGCGGTTCAGGCAGGCCACTGTAAATCCAAAAAATACGATCGATCTCGGGGACGGCAGCCCCGGCAGCGCCGCGCTCGCCGAAGAGCGTATCCATGCGCGTGAGAAACTCAAATACGGTGGCAGGGGGCCGGGCCGCCAACTCCTGGATTTGGAGGGTGATCCCGAGCAGGGTGGGAGGGCGCGCGAAGGGACCGCACCGCATCACAGCTTGGGCCTCCTCCCAAGTAGCAGGGGCGGGATTCGCCTGGAGATGAAGGCGCCAGTGAGCCGCCGCGGCGCCCTTGAGGAGGACCGGGAGGAGGTTGATGCGGTAGGCATCGTCGTGGTCCCGGTGGCACAGGCGGCAGTGGGCGTCAAAGTGGACCAGGAATTGGTCCCACCGATCGCCCTTGGGATCGCCAGAGAATGTAGGCAAGGACGGAACCCCCCGCGGCAGGGGAGGGGAGCCGGGGGCGCCAGGAGCGGAGCCGCGAGGGTGGGCCTCCAGGGCGGACAGCTGGCCCTGAAGGAAGATCACCTGACGAGAGAGCTCGTCGGTGGATGCCGATCCGAGTGAGGGGGGAGTCACCTGCGGACTAACAGCGAGGGGAGGCACAGCCAAAGCCTCGCCCCGAGATCCCGAAGCAGGAACCAACCAGGAGCCAAGCGGGGCAGTCAGCGGGTCCCCAAGGCCGGAAGATGCCGCCAAGCCCAAGACAGGGGGGCCCAGAGAGGCGGATCCCACAGTGGCCATTACGGTGGCCGGCAGTGCGATTTCTGGCCCGGAGATGGAGCCCACACCAGCCACCGAAAACAACGGGATCGAGGCTGGTGGGGTGGTGGCCGCAATCGAGCCAGGAGGCGGCAAGGGGGGAGACCGGCTGGAAGAGCCCATGCCCGCCAAGAGATGGCGGAGATGCTCCTCCAAGAAAGGGAGGAGCTGGCCCGCCAAGGCACGGGCATCAGGCAGAGTTGGAGGCCCCAAAACAGCGGGATGGGGGGGCCGATTGGGGCTGCGAGACAGAGCATCAGGTGCCCCAGCGATCGGGCGCACCGGCGGGGGTGTACGCGCCCGGTAATGGAAAGAGGTGGGGGCATGTCCCCTCCAGCCGATTCGAAAATCGTGCCCCCCTCCGCCGAATGGGCCGGGAGGGGGGTGGCGATCGGCTGCGTGGAGACCACGCCCGCCGACAGTGCTGCAGAAACGGCCGGTGCCGGCCGATCGTCCCCGTCGCCGCCGATGGGCTGGCTGGAAGTCGCCTCCTCGGACATGGCGATGGGGTGGCCGAAAAATGGCCGGGATGCGGCGACGCCGGCGATCGACGGGAGGCGGCGCGGCCCAGCAACCGAGGGGGAGGGGCCGCACCGCGAGGGGGGGGTGGGGCTGAAAAAGGTCGCCGGGTTCGCGGGAACCCGGCTCCGAAACCAGATGTTGCGCGGCAGCGCGCAACAGGGGGTGAGAGAAGCCTGCCTGTACGGGCGCTCGAAGGCCATTAAGCCGGGACCCAGCACCGGACCCCAAGTACTACGTACTTGGGGCCACACCCGAGCGCCGGTACCTGGGGTACCCCAGGTACCGGTGGCCACCGCCCTAGTTCCGGTGTGGCAACCCTAACCCCTACACTATAGTAACCGTAGCCCTCTTGGGCCGGTTACTGTAGGGGGGTCGCCGGTATCCCCGGGTACCGGCTAGTGCGGTACAGAGGGGGCGTCACGTGACAATCCCGTCAAGGAGGAGACCCGCCAGTACATTACGCATCCGGGAGCGGGTGCAGCTCCCTGGCCAGGAGCTGCAACCCAGTGGAGGGGGCCTGCACCCAACCGGGGTGCTATTGGAGGCCAACCCGGATTGTCTTAAGTACTGGGACCCAAAGAAGAAAATGGGGACCCCTAAAGAGGATAATATGAAGAAATGTTCAACATCTCCAAACTCGTCACTGGCACCCTAAGGAGTGGCTCAAGGGGATACTCTAGCCCCCTAGCCTGTGGACAGCGACCTGCCACCACCATGGAGCAACTGTGGACGACTCTGAGGCCTCCCAGTCGGTGGACAGCACGTCAGCATAGGCGGTGGAGCGTCACTACAGGCGAGGTTGTCGGGCGCCTTCGGGCACCGGCAACCGGTGGAGCGGCCTTAGGGCTCTGACCTCAATGAAGCAGCAGAACGAGCAACGCGGACACCAGTAGAGATATCGGCATGGAGTGCAGGGTGTGGGAAAATAAGAGAGATTATGGATGAGGGGGGGGTGCAGTAACGGAGTTGGAGAGTATGTGATTAGGGAATTTTGAGGTTTATGCCATGAGGGTAAATTTCCTGATCATTGGGTGAGCAGAGGCATCAACAGTACACAGAGACAAACAAAAAGAAATGAATGAAGAGAGAAAGCAATTTTTACTTTGGGAACCTTGGGACACAACATGAAGTTACTGGATCTGAGGGAGGAGACGCAGTGCCTCGAGTGGCACTGGTCTGACTCTATATGCGCTTAAGCTTGCAGTGTCTGGGCATCCTGACCCTTTATGACTCAGGGTCAAACTGGCAGAGTATAGCTTAAGTAGTATGACTTGGGGGAGACAGTCACCTTTCGTCCACCATACTGCAGTAGGGGTGTACTGATCTCAGGTGGGTTGTACGTGCAGTGGTAGTAGAATGGGCATGAGCATGGTTTCATGAGGCACGCGGTGGCTGCTTCATATGCGGCGTTAGTCACTATTGGACATGTCATGAGCATTGTTTCATGAGGCATGCGGTGGCTGCTTGATTTACGGCGTTAGTTACTATTGGACATGTCATGAAGGAGACGAAGATCATGAGTGATCTTTCGTTCGCCTTTGATATACTGGTTGTCTACTGTATTTTGTGGCGCCAGTTGGGCGATTCACCAGATAGGTGATCTCCTCAATGCTTATAGCTAGAACTTTCTTCCCAGATTATAAGAGAGTCCTCCCATTCTTCAAGGTTCTGAATGATAGAACGCTACCATGTGAGCTGAGTCATTTGCAGACAGATTGACATATAGCTGGTCTGCGTGGTTGAGGGAGAAAGAGAACATGAGGCTGATATGATCTGGAGGCATATAGACATTGGAGTTTTGAGCCTCCATGCAGGTGTGCTGGGAGGATTACGTGGCCACTGAGGCGATCTGGGCGCCTGGGTTGTATTGGTTGATTGTAGCTCTTGATTCTATGGGAATTTCTTGCGCCAGATCACTGTTTGTAGCCAGATAGTGGTCTTGGATCAGAGAGAAGAAACAAAACAAGCGTGTGTCACCGGGGAGTTACCGGGCCGGCCGCGTGTTCTGTCGGGATGGGTACGGCTGGTGTAGGGAATCTGATCGCTGTGGTGGTAATCGCGTTTGGCGCGCTGATCCGGGGCCAGGTTCTATAGGTTGCAGCCGCGCCGGCAGACCAGCCGTATATAAGCCCATGTTGGTGCCGGAAGACCTTGTTTCTGTTTCTTCTAGGATATTTTATTATTTTTGAGTTGCTTCATCTTTTATACTGGGACTGATGGTAGCCACTCCGGTATGGGACAGAGTGATGTAGTGCATCCTTTGAGGTTCTCGCGTCTAGGGTCAGCCGCTTCTCCGAGGGGGGCAGTGATGTTGTGAATACTTGACCATTGGGAACCTTGGGACACAACATGAAGTTACTGGGTCTTGGTGCATTAGGTGAAGTGGGGTAGTTTGTGGTTTTCTCTCGGTTCCTTAGGGCACTAGGACAGGGGCCATTGGGGGCCTCAAGGATTGTCTTGGTGTGTTGAGGGATTTATGGGAACATTCATGACTTTATTGTGGAGTTAAAATGGGGCCACCAATATATTGAGACAATTAAACAATCTGGCGTTAAATACTGTATGTTGTACTGTTGTAATCGATTCGTTTCGGGTCCCACGCCTGCCTCACCCGCCTGGGCAGGTCCTGGGCGCGCCCCGCGGCGCCACCCTCTCGGGGGTGCGTCGCGGGTGCGTAACACCCGGTCTGTAAGAGCATTGGTCTTGCTACCAGAGTACCTGAACGGGCCGCCTCACGCTGTGAGTGTGGGACCTGACGGTCGGGCGGGTGATTCCCTGCAAAGGGATAAGCCCAACATCCTGTGTGTGGCGACTTTGATCGCATTTCGACGCGGTGAATCGGTATACGGCGCCTTCCGCATGTCGAATTCTGCTGCGCCAACCCCGAAGGGTCGTGCCATGCCTAGGCACAGATCTTTACAGTGGGCATCACCTGCGGCTCTTCAGTCCTGCAGGTAGCTGCCTCAGTTCATTTTGAAGACGACGCACCTGTAGACCGCCTCGAACCCGTCATTCACTGGAGTTTTGGGATGTGTGGCCCAGGCGACTGCACCATCGGTGCAACACCCTCCGTGCAATTCGCATGCACGTGAAATGCACGTGTGAAATCCAGCACCCATATCCTTTCTTTTGCCCGGTCTCCGCTGCATTTCGATGGACATCAAGCCTTATCGCAGTCAATATTCTGCAACGCCGCACCGCTGGCCCTAAAACCGAAGCCTAAGTACGAAGCGCCCCCGGCACCGGCCTCAATACATTGTCTTGTGTTGCCGTTGGCTGGTGTCACGCGCGAGGCCTGGAGCCTGCCCGCTATGGAGGGCGACGAGCGGGCGCTGGACGTGTCGACGCGGGGCTCGCTGGTGCGCCAAGGCGCGGAGGCCAGGGTCTGGGAGGCGCCCTTCCTGGAACGCCCCGCGATCGTCAAGCAGCGCTTCAGCAAGAAGTACCGGGCGGCGGAGCTGGACGAGCGCCTGACCCTGTCCCGGATCAAGCAGGAGGCGAGGTCCATGCTGCGCGCCCGCAAGCTGGGCGTGCTGACGCCCGTGCTGTACATGGTGGAGTACGGCAGCGCGTGCCTGTACATGGAGAAGGTGGCCGGGAGGACGGTCAAGGATGTCGTGGCGGAGTTGGAGGCGGCCGATCGGCTGAATCCGCTGCTGGATGCGATCGGGCGGGCTGTGGCAAGGATGCACGACGGGGGGCTGATCCACGGCGACCTAACGACGTCCAACCTGATGGTGCGGGAGGGCGACGGGCGCCTGGTGATCATCGACTTCGGGCTGAGCTCGTACTCTAAGCTGTCGGAGGACAAGGGGGTAGACCTGTACGTGATGGAGAGGGCCTTCACAAGCGCGCACGCCGGCCTGGAGGGGGCCTTCGAGAGGGTGCTGGAGGCCTATAAGGGCGCCTCCAAGTACTGGAGCAGCGTGCTCAATAGGTTTGCGGAGGTGAGGATGAGGGGCAGGAAGAGGACAATGGTTGGATAGGATCATGGAGTGTGTGTTTGCTATTTTATTGTGACCGAGTGGATGGGTACAGACTGGTAGTAATGTAAGGGATTTGGGTAATGAATTATGCTTCCACAGAACTGGCGAATCTGAAGTTGGTGCTGAGGTTGGTTCCATTTGTTTCCACCGCTGAAGCACACATGTCGATGGCAATTCTCTGTGCATCCACCCTGAAAAGCGCGGTCCTGAATGGTGTCTTGCACAGAAAAGTCACCTATTGGTGGGCCAGACACGACAGTTGGCATGGCAACTCTTCCATCCTGCATCCAGCAGTCACATTTGTTGATTGCCAAGGCGTTATTGTTTTGGTCATGAGAGGTTTTAATTATCTTGCTGGTTGGGCTCACAGCAGATCTATTCTTCGCCCGCATGTCATGCTGGCAATGATTCACAACAGCTTTGCCAAAGCTCTCCAGTTGTGTTGTTGCCCTATTTGAAACACTCTGCTGAGGCCATGATCAGTGAACATCCAGCTGTTATGGGGCAAGTGCAGCACCCTAAATCGCCAATACTTTCTGGAGGATGTATAAGGCAAAACGTTTTCAACCCTTCCTATTGTCTCCCACTTTAATTCATTGCTTCATGCGCTCATGCTGACTTGAGATTGGAGACATTCCAAGTGGGGCTACACCATCCACCCCTATGGGAGCAGGTGCTTGGGGGATTGGGTACAATATGGCACAAAGGAATGGAAGAACAGCACAAACGCAGTAAACAAGAATTGGGGCCCTCCCACACACACTTGAGTCCACACAAGTATCATTGACCCCAATCTCTCCTCCCCGAAAATCCCAACTCCCACTCCACAACAACCACCAATAACGGAAAGTATTGAGCACAGCAAAGAGATCAAGTTGGCTAGCTGTTACTGATCTCTCTGCGGATGAAGATGGTGAGCCATAGTTACTATTCCACCCTGAGGATTCTGGTGGATGATCACAACTAGCGTGGCACAAATTGTGTACTTTCAGCAGAAAACTCTGACAGAGCTAATCCACAGATCTGGACAGAGGGAGATTTGATTTCCATCCAAGTTTTGAAACACTTATTTGCGAGAGCACTGTCCCTGGCCAAAGAGGGAAATCCGTAGCTGCCGATTGCACAGTCTGTTTTGCAGTCAATGGATAAGACAGCCAGTGCCTTCTGTGATGGCAGCTGTGGCACTTCTCAGCACAATAGGTGCTGGTGCTGATGCTGGTCAGCAGCACCACCCTTGCTCGTCATGAAGAATGTGATGTTGTCCAATTAGTTCAAACGCAGAGCTGTTGCAACCCGTTTTGCCGAAACTTCCAACATGACCACATCGCATAGTCAGTGTCCCACCGTGCCAATTGGCCGAGAATGCCTCAATCAACAAGTCATGCTACCCCATTAGGCGCAGCGTTTTTTCTCCCCTTTTTTTGCCCTGCCTGGGATGGCCCTCAGCACTACCCACACACGCGTTCCAACACGGATAGATCCCCTGCCGCCCCTCCGATTTCCCAGTAGCTGACTCGTGGCGACCCATCCCGTCACGTTACCGTGCCCCGCCCCCCCACCACCAGCGCAGCGCGCTCCCCCCCGTCCCCAGCCGCCTGCCGCCCGCCCGCCCGCCCGCCCGCCCCCTCCCGCCTTGCAGGGGGACCGGCCTCCGGGGGCGTCGCCTCATGGCCATGGATTTCAAAGGGGTGGCGGAGCGTTTCCGCGTCTCCCTACAGCACCCGGATACGGGGCAGAGCGAGCTCGTGGTGGTGCAGATCGGCCTGGACGGCCTGAAGGTGCTGAGCGCCGACGGCAGCCGCACCAACCGCGTCTACCCGCTGAACAACATCAGCCGATGGGCACTGCGCGGCACCAGCCTGCAGCTGTACACCAAGACGGTGGTGGACGTGGAGGAGCGCCAGGTGTCGCTGCAGTCCGACGAGCACACCATCCGCTCGGTGCTGGACACACTGACGTCTGCCTGCATGCAGTGAGTGCGGCCCGCCGGGCGCTGCGCGGCCCGCCCTTCGCCGCGGGTGGGCATTGGTCGCTGGCCCCCTGCGCATTTTGGGTCGCTGGCCCTTGGCGCGAAATGCCTGTGCATGGCCGTGGCCGTGCCGGTGCCAGGTGTTCGGGGCGCCCACGGGTGCCTGTTGTGGGAGCCTCGGCTGGGGTTCGCTTGAGCCGGAACAGCAAGGGCGTAATTCGGAATTTTGGCGAGGGTTGCATGGGGACCTTGCGGCTGGGTGTGATGGGGGTGTCTCCTCGGGAAGCGAACGTTGGGTCTACGGGAGTGCTGCGTGCCGACAGGATCGTTTGCCTTAAAGTGCACGTGGGATATGCCATTCTTGTTTTGCAAACGCTCTGGCAGCTTCCAGAGACAGAATTGCCACCACAAGTGCGTGACTGGCTGTGAGGTCTGGCCTGTGGAAGGTAGTCTCAGCGACAAGTTGCTGTGGCTCCTGGAGTGCTCTGACAAGTTGTAGTCCTGTCACCCACAGCGAAATGCGACTGGGAGACAGACACCAGGGGCTGGCAAGCCAGTCCCTAGCATGTCAGCTTCCCTTCGTTTCCATGATGACAGTTGATGACTGTGCTGTGCTGTGACGACCCTTCTTGTTCCAGAGGAGCCCAAGGATGCTTTTGATGTGTTACGTGTTGTTCTTGTAGGATGTCTGAGTTACTGCAGAATGGGGAGGCGCCTGGGGGTACAGAGAGTTTGAACCAACTGACACAGCTCTTGGCAGGAGGTGGAGGTGGTGCCAAAAAGAAGCGTGGGATAGTGAGTGGCTGCACAAATTTGCCATTCCTGTTCGATCAAACTTTGATACCACTATCAGTAAAGTCTGGCTGCAAGCTGTACCATATTTGTGAACTCTGGTGGTAATGCCAAGCAGAATACATCAACGATTGTAGGACATAGGACTTGACCAAGGTCCTAACAGTGCGACCTCCTGGAAGCTTCACCTGAAGCTCAGTGCTCCATCAGCAGCTGACTCGGACAGCTCGTATACTTGAGCTCCAGCTCCTGCTGGGAGCTGCCAATGCCTCTCATCCAGCAGCATGGGAAGTCACCTGAGTCTGGAGGACTGCATGAAGGATTGATGGCTTGTGGGTGCCTGTGGCTGCTTTTGTTCTTTTTTCTTCCTCGTATCTTGTGCATTACAGCGCTGCAGGTTCTCAGACTTTGAAATCTTCAGTTTGGGTGTCCTGGGCGTATGGACGTGTGTCACCTGCTTGAAGTAATCTCTCACAGTTCTGTGTTGTGGATGTTGAAGTATGAGTTCAGTTTCCAGGACATGCCACAGGGCATTTCAAAGTTTACCTCCTTTCCAGTTGTGTGCAAATGTGGCGCCCTGAGAGGCCAAGCGTACATTGGGGCAGGCAGCGAATTGCAGGCGGGACATTGGAATTCCATGCCTCCTGTACTGGGTCCTCCTGACAGGAACCAGACTGCTCTTTGGACAATGGAAGAATGCACATTGTGTTGTGTTCACAGAGCTTGCCAAGCGTCGATGAAATCGAATTCTGGCGCGGGGCAGAGAAGGACGGCTGGTTGTACTCCCAGGGAGAGCACATAAAGACATGGCGCCGCAGGTGGTTCGTCCTGAAGCAGGGCCACCTGTTTAGGTTCGCTACTCGTGACATCGACTCATCGTCCAAACCCCGGGGGGTGGTGGACCTCAGCAAGGTCACAGATGTCACCAATGGCCAGAGCACAACAGGCCGCCCCAACTCCGTCAAGTTGTCCACTGCAACAGGGCATGTGTGCTACATAGCGGACAGTGAGACCGACCTTGTGGAGTGGATGTCGGTTCTGGAGAGGGCAACTCATGAGATCGTCAAGAAGGTGGCTGGGGTGGATGATGAGGAGAGGGAGCAGCCCAGGGGTGGCGCCAAGGCGCAGACGGAGTGGATGCAGCAACTCATGGACAGTTACAGTGTTGCTGGCAAGGGTGGGTCGTCTGGCGACAGTGGCAGGAGGAGCGCAAACCAGATGGTGAATGTCGTTGACTATGAGCAGTTCTCGGCGACTGCACCACCTGCCACCCCTAACACGCTGTCCTCAGGCGGAGGATTGAACATGAGGGACATCGAAGGCAAGCTTTGGGAGCAGGGCGGGGCTGTGCATGATTGCATGGCTGGGACATTGGTTCAGTTCTGCAGTTGGTGCTTTGCTGATTGCATGGACCTGTTTGCTGCCCATGATGGTTTTGGATCTGGAATGACTCCCTGATGCTTGGTGTCCATGATGCAATCGTGTGACTGAGTCCCATGCATATAGTAACTCTGTCAGCAACACTGCCAGGTGCTGCAAGCTATGTTTTGAATGGTGTTGCTGTCTCAGACTCTGTCCTTCATTGACATTCTTTATGATTTCCTCCAGGGATTGCGGGCATTGTGGACTCCCGAATGGGTGGTGGTGCCAGTTATGGGGCATCGGTGCCTTCAGATGGTAGGGGCCAGCTGTCGTACCCATCTGTTGTGGCGTACCCTGACACAAGACTGAGTTACCAACCCCAGCCAAGCCAGCCAAACCAGCCAAGCCAGCCCAGCCAGCCCAGCCAGCCCAGCCAGCCAAGCTACTCAGACATGGCACACCAGTACCAGGGCCAGTATCAGGGCCAGCAGTCACAGCAAGGGGTGCCCAATTCGTATGCAGTGGGACCGTCCATCATTGACCAGCCGCCTTCACAGCAGCCCACGTACCCGTCAAGGGCGCTGGAGTCGCACGCTCAGCCTTACCAGCCAACCCCGGCAGCGATGCAGGTAGGCAACAGGCTGAAGGGCTTCCCAGCTGTCATTGTGGTCACCACTATGTGGTGGCAATGTACGAGGGATACTTGTCTCCTATATCACCCATTGTCCTGGCGATGCTGAACAAACATCAATTAGCATCAATCGGACAAGTCTGTGGATGTACATCAAGGATCGGTGGACTGTTCAGGATAGTTGCTGTAGCTCGATGGGGTACCTGGGGTACCTGGGATTCTGGAACACATGTGGTAAGACATTCGGACCTGCTTAATTGTAGATACTGGCAGAAGGCATTCGATGCCTAGTATGCACATGGACGAATTTGAAACAATGCAGGACATGTTCCTGCATTGTAGGAATTTGTTCATCAAAGGGCATTCCTTATCATGAATTGATCAGCAAGCTGGTGTTCTTCTCCGCCTGATTTTGTGCCGTTAATGCGAACGATTGATTGAGCAGTCTTCCTTTAGTTCAGGGCTTCTTCTCAGCATTGGAATCAGGAAGGGCCAGCGGCTGGTCTTTGGGATGCAGTCGCTGACATGTTGAGCGATTGGCCATGGTCCCTGTTGCAATGAATTGTTTGAGGTCTGCCTCGTTCAGGACTGTGACTGCCCAGTAAAGATGTTCCCAGCACGTCGCCCTGTGCAGAGTGAATGCGCCCTGGAACAGATTTTTTTTTGTTTTCACAGCATTGACAAACAACTCATCATGCGCGTGCTGGGGGATGTACCTGTGTAGTTGCTGCATGGCTTTCAGGTCCTTGATAAATGTCCTGTGTGCTGACATCCAAGTTGTTTCTGCTTTGTTCCCAGGTCCCCACTGCATCTGCTCCCCCTCCCACCCAAGCCAGCTCATGGCAGGTCCTGTACACGCCTGACGGACAGGCATACTATTTCAACAGGAGCACCGGCACAACTCAATGGGAAGCACCCTTCGAGCTTGTAGCCTGAGTGCCCTCCCCTGCAGCGCCTGCAGCAGGTTCAGGGACTGTCTGCCAGCTCCTATCTGTTGGCACTTTCCCAGCATGGGCACAGCCGCCTCCTTGCGTGATTTGTGTGGTTGCCTCATATAGACAGAGTTGGAATGCGTCTCGAGTGTCTTGACAGGATGATGTACGTGTGTGGGGCATGCTGTGTGATGGTGGGGGCACTGCTGGTGGTGTGCAGTGCTGCAATGGCAGCGTGTAGCGAGGTGTTCTAATCCAGGGGCCATGTATTGTAGTGCTGGGCGTTGTGATGCTGCTTGGATTCCGGGGCACTCCCAGAGTGCCCGTGGGGCACCTCGCTGTTGTACTGACATTTTCAAAAGCAATAATCGTGCGTTGCAGAAATGATCGACATTTTTCTTGGCGGACAGTGCCCAGCCACGTCTCGTTCCACTGGTGACGAGTTGTTGTGGGCCTTTTGTAGACCAAGGTGAGTGGCCAGTCTGTACCGTGGGCGGTTGAATGACCAGCTCTAATGTTTTCAATGGACAGTTGCTGCCAAAATGTAACCAACTGAACCTTCGTCAGTGCCTGTGTAGCCCTGGCTGCTGCCCTGTGGAAAGATTCAGCTTGCTTCTTGTCGTTTGGAGCCTCTGCACATGTCCAGGAAAATGGACGCCTCAGGTCCCACTGGACATGATGGTGACCCCAGCGTACCATGCAGCGGTTGAGTCAGCCCGGAACGAATGTCAAGGCTGTCAACCCATCCCGAAGTTAAGCTTTCTACTGATGCCAGACGGCGGTTGCCGTTTCCCTGGTTGAGTTAATTGTGATAAGAAGGTGGGCGACGTCTGTTTACCACACATGAGCGATGATCGTGCTGTAACGGCGAGAGAACCTTGACGCTCAGTCACAGTTTCGGTGCAAGCGTCTCGCGCCGCATAATGAAACCGCGCCAATTGGGCATAAGAGAACAGAGAATGAACATACTGTGCGCAGCACTGTCATTGCAGCGCGGGGGATGAATATGTTGAATAATCGCTATTCTGGCGAACTGGCGGCCCAGGTCTCAGTCCACGCACAGCAGCGATGCAGGGACAATTGGATCTTTGAGGGATCGAGGCGAATCTCTCCGAACCGCAACAATCCCTGTTGAGTGTGCGGCAAAAATGGCACAATGCGAAGCACGATGGCCTCGATCGGCTACAGCGGGACGGACTCCAATCAAAACAGATACGGCATCGCTGTGGGTACATCCTTTTGCCAAGACACCCAGAATCATTACTATGTTCCCTGCATTCAGTTGACCATGTAAAACACAGTTCCCAACGAGCATCAGACCGAGAAAGCCACCCTGATTCGACAGAGTCGACAAGTACTGCAGTCCTTCGCCGGGTAATTCCAGGAACCAACCAGTCGGTATCTGCGACACGAGAAGAGCTGAAGCCACTTGAAGCAGACTGAAATTGGCCAAAAGTACATTGGCCAACTGGCTACAGTACGGTACCTTAATGTTCGGGCCGCCAATTATAACTTATTTTTAAAGTTGTTAAAGTTGATTAAAACTGAGGGATTGGGACAACAGCATGTCAGGCGGTGTTGACAACCACAGACGAGAGCACGACCCAGAGCCCCCCACAAGTTTGGACAAGATGTCCGCAATACACGCCCACGGTAAGGGGTATACCCGTAATGTGGGCCTCCCAGGTAGCCAACTCCTGGGCACTGATAGCACAAGGGCGGCACAAGGGCGCCTTGTGCCAATTACTGATGGGCACAACGCTCCCGTGCTCCATGAGTAATCAGGCCTAGCGGGCGCCAGCGGACGGTCGCCTGCGGTCCTCCCGGCATGCGAAGCGCGGCACGCGGACAGCGGGGCGCGCGGAGAGAGGCGCTGAGGGCAGCCTTCGGGGTCTCCACTCGGCTGAGGATTCCCCCACGGGCGGCGGAAGGGCGCCTGGGCATCGCCGGAGCGCTTTCCATCGCCTGCGGTCCTCTTGGCGGGCGGAAAGACGGCGGGGCGCGTGCGCAGAGGCGCCCAGGACAGCCTTCGGAGCCCTGCTGAGGAGCACTTTGCGCAGGTGGGTGGATAGGGCGCGTCAATCTGGGACGCAGCGGCGTCCTGGCCCAGATGTGCAGGGCCGCGCGCCCAGAAGTGCGGGAGGGGAAAGGCTGGATTTTGTCGCACCAGTAAGCCGCCCCGCGCAGCGGCCGCTCACCAGATCGCGGCTACCAAGAGAGCGCAAAATGCGGCAGGGTGCAAGGGGAAGGGCGCCGCGACGGCGTGGATCGCGCATTCCCAGCTCCCAGGCACTGAATGCTGATCTTGGAGCCCGCCCCCCCCCTGAGTGTCCAAAGTGTCCCCTTGGAGGCTGACCGACCAGTTGGGTGAGAACACTTTTGGTGGGTGGATAGGGCGCGCCAATATGAGTCGCAGCGGCGCCCTGGCCCGTGACGGCGTGGATCGCGCATTCCCAATTCCCAGGCACTCAATGCTGATCTTGGAGCCCAGCCCCCCCCTGAGTGTCCAAAGTGTCCCCTTGGAGGCTGACCGACCACTTGGGTGAGAACACTTTGGGGGGAACCACGTGGCCTTGCACTCTCTTGCTGGGCGGCACAAGGCTCACATATCTTGTGTTAGGGTGGAGACGCAACACCGACATGTGGCTTAGAATTTTGGATTCATGAATGAAAAACAGGTGTGGCGTGCTGGTTGGCAAGTTGCTGACAGGCCCATGCACAATGTGACATGCACTGATCTGCTGGTTGCCACTGCAGGCCCAACCCCTTGGAGGAAGGCACGGTGCAGGGCTTGGGTGGGGGCGTTGTTTGGCAGGCAAGCTGCCAGCAGAACCATGAGGTATGCAACATGTTCTGCGACTACTTGACACAATCCAATGCATGCCTGGCTACTGTTATTCCATCAGGGTACAGGGCATATATGGCACACTGATTGGCGTGTTGCCAATAGATTCGTTTGGAGCTCGGTGTGCACCACCAAAACTTGGAGCATGTCACTGCACAGGTTGCTGATTCAACCATGCCATTGCAAAAGGCATGTGTGGCATGCTTATTGACAAGTTGCAAACAGACACGTTGAGTAAGTAAAGTGTATTGCAATGGACAGGTGACTGCCACCATGCAATTAGTGACAGCACTTTGCAAAACAGCCATTCGCATTCATCAATTCTGTTATGCCCGAATTGCGGCTAAATGCCGGTGTTTATTATTGACATCGTCCAAGCTGGGCAAGTTCTATCTTTGGTAATTGTACAATGTGCGTGGAATATGGTTTCTTTTAACATGTCTAACCGGTCATTGGAAATCAACTTCATGGACACTATATCAATATGGACAATGAGGTGTTGGCTGGCATGTGGGCATGTTTTGTTGGAGTGTTGGAGTTGCATTGGTAGCTCACGTTATCAAAGTATGGAGATTGTTAGGTGGATGATTAAATGTCATTTTGAGAAGGTGTATTATGTTGTTAGATGCCACAATAGGTGTTTTGTGGACATTGCCACCCTAGCTACACATGCAGTACAATCATTCTACCTTGCTCAGTGGGTTACGTCATATAGCCTGTGTGTACGTCACAGCCAGCCCCTCAAGGCATTCTCACAATATCTAGCCATTTTTACATTGACACATGTGGGTGTTTCATCCTCCCAATTGGGCATGGCTCTCATCATCATTTGCTGGCAAAGGTTTCGAGTGCATTGCCTTCTTACCATGTCCCTCGAGTACTGCTAAATTGGATTGTTTGTTTGTTTGCATGCTCTATATCACTTTCCATAATGTTAAATGCTCTTTCGTACCTACTCCAGTATTGCAAACTATGTGGCTAAATGGTCTTATGAACTTGTGCCAGTATTAATGATGGTCGGCAGACATCTACCCCCATTGTCACTGGGCAAATGGCTGGACATGAACTCATGGATACAATAAGCCTGGGAGTTATTGATGGCAGCGTGGGCAGTGGGATTGGCCAAGGCTATGGCAGCACAGGCATGTTGGGTGGCCAAAGCAGCAACATGCGCAGTGGTCACCTTGGCAGCAGGATTGGCCAGGGTTGGGGTAGTGCAGGCATGTTGGGTGACCAAAGTAGCAGCATGGGCAGTGGTCACTTTGGTAGCGGGATTAGCCAGGGCTGGGGCATGGGCAGTGGTCACCTTGGCAGTGGGATTGGCCAGGGCTGGGGTAGGACAGGAATGTTGGGTGGCCAAAGTAGCAGCATGGGCAGTGGTCACCTTGGTTGTGGGATTGGCCAGGGCTGGGGCAGAACAGGCACATCGGGTGGCCAAAGCAGCAGCATGGGCAATGGTCATCTTGGTAGCAGGATTAGCCAGGGCTGGGGCATGGGCAGTGGTCACCTTGGCAGTGAGATTGGTCAGGGCTTGGGCAGGACAGGAATGTTGGGTGGCCAAAGTAGCAGCATGGGCAATGGTCACCTTGGTTGTGGGATTGGCCAGGGCTGGGGCAGAACAGGCACATTGGGTGGCCTAAGTAGCATCATGGGCAGTGGTCACGTTGGCAGCGAGATTGGTCAGAGCTGGGAGAGCACAGGCGTAATGGATGGCCCAAGTAGCAGCATGGGCAGTGGTCAATTTGGCAGCAGGATTGGGCAAGGTTGTGGTAGTACAAGTATGTTGGGCAGCCCAAATAGCAACATGGGTAGTGGTCACCTTGGCAGCGGGATTGGCCATGGCTTGGGCAGCACAGGTATGTTGAGTGATCTAAGTGCTGGCATTGGCAGGGTTGGCAGGGACAATGATGTGGGATGGGAACAAGGGGACAATATGGAGGATGGTGGGGCTAGTGATATGAATATTCATATCACTAGCCCCACCATCCTCCATATTGTGGAGGATACCTCCCATTAATGGGGGTAGTACAGGTAGTGAGGGTAGTGAGGATAGCGAGGGTAGTGGGCCTAGTGGGGGGGTAGTGGGGGTAGTGGGGCCTCAGATGGCTTGAGCTTGTTGAGGTGTTTCGTAAAACAGGGATTAAAAGGAACAAAAAAAA